CCTTCACTTTGTTTCCATGGAAATATATTTGATCGGTGAGACTGGCAGTGAGATAGAAATATTACTAAGTAATCTATAGCAACAAACACAGATAACACGTTGCTCTCCGGCTGTCTCAGATATGAGTTTTAAGACACTTTGTTCTCTCTCTCTCTCTTCCTCTCTGATTTCTCATTGAAAAACTTTCTTTCTCTCTCTTGTTTTATTCTTCTTGAATCGATCACTCTCAGGCAGAAAGATGCAGAATGCCTCTTTAGCAGAGTGTTACTATTGAGAAAATTAAAACCTCTCTACTGTAAGACTGATTCAACAGGGATTTTAAATTTAATTTAAATTTTTTTTTTTTTCAGTTCCCGTACTTTAGACAGCCTGAGTTTTTTGGGGGTTTTTGGTGACCCATAAAATCATTTTGTAGAGTCTTATTGAAGATTCTTTAATTGACAGGAGGAGGAGGATCTTGCTGCTGGAGTTGGTCGCTCTCGTGTGCCAGTCCCTCCTCCCCAACCACCATACTCTGATGATGAAGATGACTATGAGGATGATGAGGAGGAAGTAACTGGATCTGCAGGCACTTCAAACAGGTTAGTGATGTGTGTATAGGTATAAATACCAGCCCTTGGCCATTACTCAAGAATTTATACGCTAATCATCACCCAATTTAACACAAATGTCTAATAGACATCATAATGTTGACATAAAGACATAATGTTCTGCAAAAACACATAAGATGGTAATTCTAGTATAAATTTAGTTCAGTTTTTTAATATTTGTTTTATATTTGCTTTTGTCAGGTTTAGGCGGAAATCAAGTCTGCGTTCGAGACCAGGGCGGGTTGGGACTGGAATGGAAAGCCAGATTGCCCTGAGTGTCTTGGCTGAGAAACTGAAGAAAGAAGTCCAGAGGAAAGATGCACTAAATACGCCTCTCTCCGTACGCACAGAAGGCCGCACCGGGGGCATTTGTATCACATCTGCTTCACAGCCCTCCCCCACACCCAGCAACGAAAGCACCGACACAGCGTCTGAGATTGGCAGCGCCTTCAACTCCCCGCTGCGCTCACCTGCTCGCTCCCAGGCCGCCACGCGCCCGTCCAGTCCAGTTGCATCCCATCTGTCTCGTGTGCTGTTTGGAGAGGATGAGATGCTGAGGCTAGACTCCAGACATAATCGTGCTGTAAGAGAACTGGGTCCCTCTGTCAGCGTAGCCTTGTTACACCTGCAGGAGGATGGGGTGATCTATGCTCTCCCCTCTTCTAGTGAGTACACATGATCATGACTGTCGTCCATGTTATTTACAAAGGTGGTTTAAAGGCCTCTGCTGATGTAAGCTTTTGAGCCTATCGCTTGATATTAGAGTCAGAGCATATTAATATTTTAGACAGTAGAAGTAAACAGTTTGAGTAATGTAATGTGTATAACATAGACTTCTTTTAATAATAGATTGTCTGTGTCTAGCTAGTTTTGATTGATTGTTACTTTGATTATTGCCTGTACAGTAGATTTGGCTGCTGATGGCACAAAGCGGCCTTGTACTCCTGAGAAGACAAAAGAGAAAGAGCAAGCAGGACTCGTAGCAGGAGAGAAGGAAGGAGGGAACGAGGGAGACGAGGGACCATCTGTGGAGGTGAAAGAAGAAGAGAGCAAAGATGGAGCAGAGGTGAAACCCAGCAAGGAAAAGCTGAATGCTACGGAAACTGCTGCAGACAGCAAGCCTCCTGGGGATAAGTACTCACCGAAAGTAAGTCTAGAAAATCCTCTGTGTTATAATGTACTGTAATATGAACCTTGGTATGGCCATAAGCCTGCTGCGATTTCTTTTTGTATCACTGTACCTTCATCTTTTTTGCTTGTACTGCCAATTAGGGAGCAGTTTCTCAGGCTGTATGCTGAAAATATTAAAATAAATGAAGAACCACACAGAGCGGTTCATCTTATTCCGTCTCTTGCAGGAACTGCTTGCGCTGCTTAAATGTGTAGAGGCTGATATTGCCAGTTATGAGGTGTATCTGAAGGAAGAAGTGGAAAAGAGAAAGAAATACAAAGTAGGTGGTGTTTACCTGTAACCAATACAATACCCTTGGTGTGATGGTGATTTTATTTGCTTTTAATCAGAATCTTGTGTTTTCATTTTTTCAGATTGATGATCAGAGGAGGACCCATAATTATGACGAGTTCATCTGCACCTTTATATCAATGCTTGCCCAAGAAGGTAAATCTGATCACCACTTTGCTACTTTCCTTCTTAATTTGTCTTGCCACAAAAAGTACATAATTGAAAAAGAGAAGAAGGGAGAAAAGATGTTAAACAAAATCTTACTGACATGCCAAAAATCTATTATTTTGTTCGTATTTTCATAATTTCCTCTCACCTTCATTTCTGACGCGGTATCCTCTGCAGGAATGCTGGCTAGCCTTGTGGAGCAAAACATCTCGGTGCGTCGTCGGCAGGGAGTAAGTATTGGCCGCTTGCACAAACAGAGGAAGCCCGATCGCAGGAAACGCTCCCGACCTTATAAAGCCAAACGCCAGTAATTACAAACAATCATAACTTCTGTAAGTAACAGAAAGATAAGTTGCTGCACTCCTGAAGCTCTCTCATAAAGACAGTTTAGTGTTGTATTTTAGTCAGAGCCTCCTCTTCTCCATGAAATCAACATGTATTTAGGTCAGTCCTTTTATCCCTAATGTATATACATATGTACCTCCATTTTAGTCTCAATGTAAATTTTCTTCTTGTGCCAATGCTGTCTACAATTTGTAAATATGAAATATGTCCCCAATGATGCACCTGAATGCTTTTTATTGAAAGATCTTCTCTACGGTCTTGTGGTCAGTACAGTTTGAGTAATTTGTTGAATTTCTCTAAAATGCCTCAGTATGTCACTAAATATACACTTCGCTTTAAGTCAGAATTTCTTCAGCTGTGTCCCTCTTTCATGTTTTCAAGGTGCCAGTGAAGTATTGAATGTTTTGACAAAAAAGGCCATGTTTTATTCATCCACAGCATTTCAGCTTCAGTATATTCAGTGTAGGTATTTCACTGTATAATATAAAAAGCACCTTTTAATCACATTCTTCAAGGACAATTTTAATCTCAAGAAGAAGTCATGATGCATCAGGGTTTTTTCTTTTCATTGGAATGTGTTTTCAGTGGAGAGTCTCTAGCTGTGTATGTATTTTTCTTGAGGTCCTGCAAATGAAAAACAAGCTCTTGTGTTATTTTTGTACCTGAAATTGGATCTCAGCGTGAGTGAATATTAAATTGGAATGTGTGCAGTTGTGTGTTTTGTACATATGTATCTGTTAATTGACTCACCTGTACATTGAGTTCAGTTTTTTTTTTTGTTCTTGTTCAGTTGTTTTTTTTTTTGCTTGCCAATTCATACTAAAATAAAGTCAGTGAAAATATGTATTTTGGGGTTTTTCAAGTGACCTGACTACAGTGATAGATCTGAGATTACACACGTATTAGATTAGCTTTCTGTATAGATTCATTAGATAGAACTAAGCGTTTTATTGTAGTGACAGTTATTGTACACTAGGGAGAGCAGTGATTCAGAGAGGAGTGGGACCATCTCAGATTTTTCTCAACGCTATGCCATAAGTAGATGCCATTCACAATAAAATGAACTTGGGGTTTACTACAGTATGATTGTGTTGCGGCAGCATGGCTTTGGTGCTCATTTCTATTCAGATGAATATATAGTATTCTCGGTGTTTTTGTACTGGTAACCTGGATTTGCCAGAAGAATCTCAGCTTTCATCCCTGACAGTTCCATTTGTAGCAAAACAAAAACTGCACTGCTGCAGTTTGTTATTTTGCTGAATAAAATAATCCACATTGATTTGAAAATTATATTTACATAATCCCAAATTAGTAAAAGTAAAAAATGTAACATAATTTACCACTAGATACGCTGATCTTATGATAGGTCTTAACATGACTTGCAGTATGTGTTTTATTTTATGTTTAACCAGACACTATTTGTCTTTACCTAAGGATATGTTTGAGTACTGGTATGATGATCTTATAAAAATGACACTTTCTCTCTGGCAGAGCTGCAAAGTACACACAGTGGCCTATGTGGGAGTGGGAGCTAAAAAAATACCCCTCAGCCACACATCTTCGGTGGAGCAGATGTTTGAGTTAAATAAATCCATGCTGTACTGTTATGTCACCACTGTTTGCCTGTAATTTGGTTGGCTGGCATCATATAGCCCAGCAGCATATTTGTAAAATATCTCACAGACATTGCATTGTTCATTTTCCAATGTTGACATGTTGCTTGTTTGAAATGTTTCATATATAGCGGATGTAGAGAATATCGGGGATTCTATTTGGATGAGTTTGAATTTTAGTTTATTTTTCCTCTAAGACTGACAGTGGGCTCATAAGAATGAAAATACAATATAGTCAAATATGATATATTATTTTCAATTAATTATTTTTCAATTAATCATTTATTCTATGAAATATCAAACAAAAAAATTTGCCTTGCCTTTTTCACAATTTCTTTCATGAAAAATGACTGAATCGATTAATTGATTATCAAAATAGGCCTGTGCAGAAAATTTTTCTGTAGATCAACTAACTGATTATGGTACCATTTTCAAACATGTAGCCCACAATGTTTGGTGTCTCTGGCACGGACCCATCATTCATCTTATAAAACCAATGGTCTGCAAAGAGGAAAGACTTGAGTTCAATCGGGGAGGCCCCAGTGGTCCCCAGTCATTGCCATTGATGACCCAGAGGTATCTGCATGGTGACTTGAGATAACCGAGCACCGTGAACGCGCACGTACGAGCCACTCAAGTTCCCACCCATTACGTCAGCGCGCTCCCTCACCCTCTCCGTCAGCGCGCGTGCTCCGTGCGGGATGCTGAATTGTAGGTGATGATGGCGGAAGGGGAGCAGCGCTGAGTTTCATCTGAGTTTTTACCACAGCTGTAGAACCACCTACAACATCGTTTCTCTCCGTCGACACCTATCCCGAGGCGATGGGGAACGAGGCTAGTATGGAAGGGGAGGGACAGCCGGGACAGCCCGGCCCCGCTGTCCCTGCAGCAGGGGCTCCGGCTTCCATTTCAGCACCACCGGACTCTGGACAGCTCATCAAGCCCAGCAATGGAGCGCCAGCCGGAGGAAGTGGGGCTGGACCCGGGCCGGGGATTAACAGGTAGCCGCGATAGCTAGGACGCTTCTCCGCCAAACTGTGGAGAGAAATCAGGGAGGCTACACGGCAGCGTGGCGTGTACCGTACATCTGTACGATGTGGAGCGTAGATATAGGATCAACCGACTGCGTGAAGATAGACTTGAATGGGTGCTTAATTATTTATTTCAATATCCTTGTCAACACAATTCACCACCCCTTTTTGAGACCCATTTTTTGCTTTTTGGCAGCACCACCCTATTAGTCAACGTGAGTTTGGGTCGAAGTCAAATTTAATATGCAACGCTTTCGATGTAAAATCAATAATACGTAAATATAGCTTTCAGACGGTTCAATAGAAATTTCTACGCCCGTTTTCACGGTGTCTGTCCTGAGGCATCAGTAGCTAAGTATCATGAATGAAAGAGCGACATTTTTTCCCTCGTAGTGAGGCAGTGCCAAGTGAATATGAAGACTTAGGAATAGATCTCAGAAATATTAATGTCCCCATAGCTTCAGGTGATAAATAAATTAGAAATGTAAACGATGCAAAGTGTACAGGGTCTCACGTTGAAGAGCCGAGTCGGTTCCATTACAGGTTGATTTCCTGAACATGCCTTGACGTGAATATCAGTAAATACCGACTCATTCTGAGAAATCACCTTCCTCCTGATGCGGAGACGTCTGTATCCTGATGACAGCCTTGTGTAGGATGACAATGCTACCATCAGATATCACCGGCGTCATTGTGAGCACAGGACCGTAACGCATATGCCACAGCTGTCTCACTTATCTGATCTCAATTCATATCTATATGGAGCCAGTGGAAATTGTTTTTCACCACCGTCAACTGCACAGAATAGGGTCATTTCTTCTGGAAGAGTAGCGTTGCATCTCTCCATAAGAAATCCATCCAGACTGAGCCCAGACACGTTAACAATGTTATAGAAGACTTCTGAAATGGAACATTTCCATTAGGCTATTTATGAAAACCCCGTTGATGGCTTGTACTATAAGGCAATGTATGCTGATAAAATATTTGCCTATTCCAAAAACTAGCCCATATCATTGGTGTGTAATCACATGTTGTAGCCTGTGGGTCTGTATTTTCTGTGTGGGTGTGTGGAAGGGATTACCCTCCCAACAAGATCTGATATTGCCTTAATTACACAGTTCAACAGTTGTAGACCTGAATAAGCACATGCAGAGGCACAGCTGCATCTTGGATTTGCCACACCTGCTTACAGTTTCTATAGATATATAAAGATATAGATTCTTTTCAGAGCTAAATTCAAGAAGTGTTGCATCTTTGGATAATCAGTCTTTCATCACAGACATATTGCTTGATTTGTTTTATTAGACAAAGTGATTGAAAGGTATAATGTTGAGCTGTTCTGCAAATAGTCTGCCATATATACCGTTAATGTTTGGAGAAGCACTCACTGTTCATCTTGTATTTTCACTGTGGGGCAGGTTTAAAGGCTCATAGCTCCCATGTAAGCTCGTGATTCTTTTATATCTCGATTTCTCTCTGGTATCCACCCCAAGGTGTCTCATAAAGTGATGGTGAGAGCTGAGAGGCTGAGTGTGCTAAGAGACACAGAGAGAGATGGTAAGAGCTGGGCAGAGAGTGAGAGAGTATATCATATGGCTGAGTAAAATGTTTTTTCTTAAGATCATGATACATTCAGTCTGGACATTTCCTTAAAAAACTCTCCCACAAAGAACTCATGAGAGTGTGAGAAACAATGAAATGGTGGCTGGTTTGAGACTGTAGATAGGAGACTTTAATCTTAATTAAAATGAGCTGCAGCATTTTATGAGTTGGCCTATTAATATGAATGGGGGCATAATATGCTATATATAACCTTATTCACAAGTGAATTCCATATAGGCATTTTTTGCTCTATTTTGGACCATATTATGTTTTATTCATTACATTCAAAGAGCTAAATCCATATAGGAGTCCATGAAGCTAAGGGTGTCGTCCTTCCCTCCTGCTTCACAAAGCAACACAATAGTTGTTTTCTTCTCTAATCATAACAGCTTTGACTAAGTGCACAGTCATCTTGACCTGATGACCATAACTGACAAGCATTCAGAATTGTAAGAAATACTACCTTGTGTTAAAGACCGTCTCCAGATATTTCCCATGTTAACAACAATGTGCTCAGTGTGCTGCTGCCATATTGTCTTATTGTTTTCTCTTCGGCAAATGAGTTTGTGATGACCTGGACTTGCTCCATCATGTAATAACATATGTTACCGAACGCTATGAGAGAACTACTTTATTCAGTCCGTCCAACATATAGCACTGATATTCACTTTTTTTTTTCAAATAATGTTAATCATGAAGTAATGTAAATCAATATGGATCTTAATTCCAATACAAACCCAAATAAAATTACAGTCCATTAAAACCCATGAAAATAATCGATGCAGTCATGTTTTTAGACACAGTGTACAAACTATATTTCTTCATAATTAATTTAACTTGAGCAATGAAAGCACTGAACACTAGGCTACACATAACAAACGGTCATCACAACTCAAACAAATAATGCAAAAGCTGCTCTCATTATTTATGACACTATGACATCTGTAGGACTCAGAGAATTAATGTCGTTTTTTGAGACATTGGCAGTGTAGCATTGCTGTCCAAACATAGACACTTCAATTAAAAAGACATCAGGTACCAAAGCTTGTGAGAGTGTATTTAGAGCACTTTTGTTCTAAGCTTGTAACATATGTCAGTGGCAAACGGCTGGAACTTTGGGTTACACTGACTTGAAACGCTCTAAATCATGCAAGAAATGCTTGTGTTGAATGTTTGGGCCCTGTATGTGAAGCTCACTAAAAGAGTGCAACATACTTCCTTAGTACCTTTCACACTTTCAGACCGTAGACAGTCCATCTCAAATAGACTGGGACGAAGCTGTGACCAAGCTGAACGCTGCCCAGTTTCCCTGTTCTACTCTGTGTATTCTGGCAGAACAGACACAGTGGTAGGTTTAGCTGGAAGCGGACACTGTTTGTGCCTCTCATGTATTATCATTGCATTCGAGCCACAGCTAAGCTTCTGATTTTCCAAGAAATATATACCTGGCAAATCTTTGAAAACCCCCAAAGGTCATGTAACAACACTTCCTGCTGCTCTGAAGGTTTTTGCCGAATCTTCAAATACTGTTTTAACCATCTGGATGAAAAAAAATAGTCTGTCATCTTAAAAAGATTTATAACCTGTTTCTCAGGTTGTGACTCTGTTTATTAATCCTGTGTCCTTGCTCTCTCTGCAAAACACAAACAAAATATCAACATGTTCTTTTGTATGAAAATACAGCCTATTGGGAAGAAACATCAGTATGTACCAATATAACTGATCACAACATTTTGAATTTTGATTGATGATGTACAAATTGAGCAAAGGCATGTCATTTCCAGCTATCATCTTTATTTTGATTTGGAAAAAGAGTTGTAACTTGGGAAACAGGTTAAAAAATCTTGATGGAATACTTTTTCATTCAGATGCTTTGAAGAGTCTATGAGGATTCAGATCAAGAGCTGTTAAATAACCTTCTGGGTTTTTCAAAGATCTTCGGGTATATATTTTTATGAAAACCAAATATCTGTAGCTCTGTGACTTTAATGTATTGATAATATATAAATATAAACTTTTGGTGCCCCCTGCCACTCATTTGAATGACCATAAAATAAAACTGTAACACACAGTTTGTGTGCTGTCAGTGGGATCATCGTTTAAGGGCCAGCTGTGACTTTTATGTAGATGATTTCATGTGACGAGCCTGTTCTTATGTGATGCACTGCAAGTGGGAGATTTAAAGTTTCAGAAGCTCCTGCATTTTCATTTGACCAGCATGATGGGGAAAATATTGTCTCTACAGTAAGCGCTCTCTTAACCATGTCTCGGCTGCTCATCAGTTATTTTTTGAGGATTTGCCAAGCCTGTCCAATGCTAAATGATGGAACAAGAAGTGCTGTGGCCTATAACAGTGCCACCCACCTCTGTCAGAGACACTGGAATAATTCGTTTTTATGCATTTTATAATAGTCTTGATATGGGAGTTTGTCAGAGCCTCTGTCACACGCCTGGCTAATTGAAAAATTAAATACTTTTATTTTGTCTATGATTCCTTTTTATTTTGTGTGAATGCAGCACAGAGCAGCTATTTGCTCTTTGCTGCCTAAAAGCTAGCAAAGATGCATTTGTCATCATTTTTGACAGACATTACTTGAACGTGTGTCAAATCCCCTTTGTTCCACTTTAACCATGGTAATGAGAACTTACAAAAAGCACAAACAACCAAGGTGTCCAGCAAATCTAACCCCAAATCTGAGGCCTCTGGTACCTTTGTGCTTTGACCTATAAATTTAACTAAATGGATGGCACCAGATAGATTTCACTCAGTAGCCTCAGTTACCCAGTTTCATTTCCAGTGGACAGAGGTATAAATCAATGAGAAACATATACCATTTCAAGTGTAGGGAAACTGATACAGATATACCGTATCCGGCTCCTTCAGATAATTCCCCCTATACCAAGAGACATATTTAACTAGTCAGATTTCAGTGCAAAGCCATGTTTTATTAATTATTTTTTTATTTCTCTAATCATATAATGTACACATTTTATTTGTAATGTGACTGTTAACTGTTTGTTAATTATTTACTTGCAATGCTCTTTATTGTTCAGTGAACCCTTTAAAAGTAATGGGTTGGTACTTTGTACCAGCAAGTCCTTTGATTAATCCTCTCAGAGTTGGTATTGTCAGTTGAAGCGTTGTCTGGGTGCAGTACTGCTGAAGGATACTAGAAAAATTGGCACACTTGACTGCTGATATTTTACTGAGCTTAGCTTTGATTTGATTTTGAAAGAATGCTCTCTGTGTTAAAAATGAAAATGCATTTGAACATTAGATTTTGATCAAAAAGTGCTGAGCCTTGCACACGTCAGTGGCCTTTATAATACTGGATATTTTGCAAAGGGGGAAAGAATTTGTTTTGGCTGTTAATTGATCGAATATTAAGTTTTACTATATGTTTTAGTAGTAGTAATGTTTTACTATATCAAAACACACAAGCCAGCACGTTCAATTGTTTGGATACACCTTCTATACTCTGCCACTGAGAAATGTTGATTGTCTTGTCAGGTCCCACTTGTCCTGGCTGACAGTGCCGACAAAGTCTGTTCAAAACATTATGTATATAGGCCTACACTACATGTTAAAGGACATACACTTATTTGCTTTCTATCTGAGAGTCAGATGAAAAGATTAATACCACTCTCATGTCTGTCTAAATATGAAGCTACAGCTAGCAGCTTAGATTAACATAAACATTGGAAACAGGGGGAAACAACTAGCCTGGCTATGTCCAAAGGTCACAAAATCTGCCTACCAGCACCTTTTAAGATCACCAATCAACAACTGAAGGGTAAAAACAATACATTGCAGCTTTTTGTGCTGGCAGTTTTGTGGCCTGGGAGCAGTAACTAAGGTTATGATGTGTTGGTAGGTAGATTTTGTTACCTTTGTACAGAGCCAGACTAGCTGTTTCTATTCTTTGTGCTAAGCTAAGCTAACCAGCTGCTGCCTTTAGCTGTATTTTTACTAAATAGGTACAAGGTTGTTATCAATCTTCTTATTGAACGCTCAGCAAGACAATAAATTGGCACATTTCCCAAAATGTTGAACTATTCCTTTAAGATTGGTGTAATGCAGTTGCTGCATTAATCAGTTTGTTCTACGTGTTGACGTTTTCAACAGTAACACTGAGATACTATCACTTGTATTTTTGAGGCTGCGTTGAGAATTTGACTTTCTTTCTGTTTCCTTACGACAGGAAGTTTCACATGAAGCTCCAATTACATGAGATTGGCAGCTTACAGACCCTTCAATGTCCACTTTGTGATAAAGCAAGCAACTTGTAGTGCTTAAAAGACACAAGACCACAAGTTGTTCTCAGTGGACTCCCGTTTGCTGATGGACGAGAATATCTAAAGAAATCTTTTGAAAAGGTGTCTTCCTGTTTAAAGTCTTCTTCAGAGTCTCATTATGCCATGCCTGAGGCACTGCATAAATCACATGAGACTCCACTTGGTGCCTTTGCTTTTAAAGTGATAATTATTATGTGAAACTACCTTCTATCTTGTGAAGACACTGGGTAGATTTAGACTTTAGTTGTCTTTAGCGTTATCCTCAAAAGTCCAGTTTAGCCTCAGACAGAGTGGGAGCGGTTGCCAACATACTGTCAGGACTGTGTTGAATTTCAAATATAATGTTCCAGTGATGGTTTGAAAAGTGCTAGATTTTCCTGATGGGTGCGGTGAACACAGGACTGTGGAAAGTGGAACAAGGTTAGAGTTGTGCAGCAGCTCAAGTCATCGGCAGTGACTCACAATTGCTAACATGCTCTGTTTTAACTCCTTTATTCCAACCTTTATTTCCACCCTTCTCTCACTGTGGACACGGAGCTGCTGCTGAGCCTGTCTTTGAAGATGACGGGCATGACAATACAAGGTCTAAGTTGTTATGACAGTGGAAATCCTCCATTCCCATTTAACTATTGGCACTTATGCCTGAGGGTCAGAATGAGCTAGAACCAAAAGTTTACAATTCTGTTGTTTGATACACTACCTTTGGTCCCCTCTAAACACATAACTGAGGCCTGAACAGAACAGCTTCAAAGAGTGAAAACAAGCCACAAAGAGCACTTCACAGAAAGTGATAGAGGCAATATAAAATATTCAGCATCTGCCTCTCTGTTTGCCAGTGTTTTGAGTAGTCTGATATCGCATCATGAACAACAATAAAATCTTTTAATGGAATTTGGACCTAGAGCATCTCAGAGCTGAAGGGCTCCAAATATACCACTCAAGAAGAAGTAGTGCTGTTGAAATTAAGTTGCTGGGATAAAAAGCTATTTAAGAAAACATGAAATGCAGCTCATTAAAAATATAGGCTGTACTTCAAAAGGTATAAGCTACATTTTATATTTCCTGTGCAGTGCTTAAATGTTACGAGGTCTACAAACTAGGTTGCTTTAACAACAAGCAAAGCCCCTAAATTCACCAATGTACCTGTGCCATATTCATCATTTCACTCAATCACTGAATCCATCTTTCCCTTACTCATTGTTACTCACTTACTTGCCATTCTTCTCTCATCAGCCCCCTCAGTGTTTCCCTCAATCGCCCCAAAAGGTTGCTGTGATTACATTTTGCTTGCAGTGTCACTGCTGATGTAAATGCAGGTTAGCAAAAGAAAAACTAACCCTTGAAAATATTGTGTAAATGTGGACATCAAAGCTAACAATTTTCAGTAGTATTCATAAATGAAATATGTTATTTCCGTGTCACTTATAGATGGGATTGCAGCAATGTCCAAAGGATGTGATGAATGAAATGTGTGTCTGTGATTAAGGGACTCCTGTGGGCAGAAGATTTTTCCAGATTTTGTGTTTGTAAATTTGTGCTTGCATAAGAATAAGAAAGAGAGAATATAGTTCAAGGATTCAAGGGTTTTCTTTGTCACGTACACAAGCAAAATGTGCAGTGAAATGCTGTGAGGCATATTGTGCTAAAAGACTACTGTGGAAAATAAGAAGTAGAAAAAAAAATAATAGAGATAAAGGTAAGAAATTATAAATATATGTAAAACCTTGAGATGTACACATGGCACAATTGTAGCCGAACTATACAATAAATATAACCTACATACAATTTCCAAATTCAACATATTTTGTATTTTAAAATATGCAACTGCAGCTGCTTCAGGAGATTCTACTTTTAACATTTACTAGCTGTGACAGCGTCTGGTATTGTTTTCACCTTGTGTGTGTGTGTGTGTGTGTGTGTGTGTGTGTGCGTGTGTGTGTGTGTGTGTGTGTGGTGTGTGTGTGCATGCGTGTGTGCATGTGTGTGCGTGCGTGCATGTGTGAGTGTGTGCGTGTGTGTGTGTGTATGTATGTGTGTGTGTGTGTGGCATCATGGCAAGGAGACACCTGGAGACACCCTCTGTAGCAGGAGGTGGTTTTGAGTACTTTGGCAGGTGTTTTGTGTGTGTCTGTCTGTGGACCGACTTTGTCAGCATGTTAGTGTCACAACCGTTTGACCCATGAGTGCTGAGTGCTACTATGTAATAATGTAGTAATAATGCAGTAATGATTAATGAATACTCATGGAAGGTAATGTCAATATATTAATGGTTGTTGCGGCTGGTGTGATCCCATCACAAGATGGTTGCTAGTTTTTTTTCATCATTTTTGTACTGAGCATGAAAATTCAATATTGAACTTGGAAATAGTATTTTGATAAAATAATCTTAATTGATGATCCATTTCAAAATCCATTTGCTTGACAAACAAATTGTCAAAACAAATTCCGCTGAACAAAGACAATGAGATGTGGTTAAAAAGTGGACCTTGAGATGAGATTACTTTGGCAAACTATTTTTATATAACTTTTTCAACGTACAGTATATCATAGTTGAATTAACTGTGTTAGGTGGTATTTCTTAAAAATCTATTAAACCTAAATGTCTAACTCAGGATCCAGGTCTAACTTCCACTTTTTCCTGTGTTCTCTTTATCATCTGTGTTAGACCACCGCCGTCAGACCCAGGACCTAAAGCTGGAGTCCAGAGTGGTCATGGGACAGGGGACAGATTAGCCTCCCATGATACCCCTCAGCATGCCACACCTCAAGGAGAGCAGGGCCAGGGTCATGTGGCCAGGAAGAGTCTGCAGGTGGATGTGGGTAGCAGCAGGACTGGGAGGTCCCCTTCTGTGTCCCCGGACCGAGGCAGCGTCCCCACCTCCCCTTACTCTGTGCCTCAGATTGCACCCATGCCCAGCAGCAAACTGTGCCCCGTCTGCAAAACCACCGATCTGATGGGCACTGGGGATGACAAGCCGAACTTCAACACCTGCACACAGTGCCGCTCCATGGTGTGCAACCAGTGTGGCTTCAACCCCAACCCTCACCTCACAGAGGTAGGCAGTGCCACTCGACTGAGATTCACCAGGATGAAACCAGTGTTGTACATTTTTCATTATCTGATTTTTTTTCCCCACTCCTCTAGTTCTATAAAAGTTTACTCAACAACCAACCTGCTACATAAACCCAGTAAATATTGTCATGCATCTGAAGTCAGCACTGTTACAAACACAGTCAGCATCTGCCAAGGACGCATTCACGTGAAAAACAAAAACATCTAAAACACTGCTAAAAAAAAAAAAAGCTTCTGTGCAATCGACTGCACCACAAACAGATTCTGAATGAATTCAGGCATACGTTTTTACATACTGCCCAAAGGCGAAAGGGAAAGAAGCAATGGGGTGGCTATGATCAGGCACATGACTTTCTGAATGAAACGTGTAATATAAAATATGAATAATTTACAGACCTGTCTGCAGAGAACCAGGATATCCTTCAGAGTTCTCATGATTTTGATCAGGCTGACAAACGGTGCTTTAAAATAGGACCATGGATCTTTATACTGTCAGGCTTTGTTTAGCGTAACCTTATTTCCCCTGTGTGGAGCTATATACATAAACATATGAGTCATGCATGTATATCGAATGGCTGGTACATCATACAGATTGACAGTCTTTCAATTTTCAAGACATCCATTTTCTTTCCTCCCAGCTGTATGACAGCTCAACCTATTCATAGCATCCATAGCAGGTGTTGGTGACAGAGGTGGCATTGTGAAAAACTGACGTCAGTACATACCTTTCATCTGCAGTGTCTTTATAAAGTATATTGACAGCAATACAGAGTGTGCATGTTTAAATTTGGATGAAAGTGGGTGGTTCAGGTGTTACATTATGCTTTAATTTGTCCAGTGGTAATTATTTCTCATTGACGTTTTGTGAGTAATGTTGGTGATGACTATTGTTTTCAAGTTGAATGAGACTGGCTCATGGGCTGAACTGCACCAACTGAATGGGAGTCAGGATGTGAATTAGTTGCATGCTTGTTGAGAGCTGTGAACTTATAGTTCTAGCCATTGTTCACCTTGATTGATGAAGTGTTTAATGATCTGGTGGACTCATGATCTTTCATCCACAGAGACCTGGTTATCACTTAGTCCTTTGCCGAAGTGCCCGCTAATATATTGGTCACTTCCTATTAGCTGTAATGAATCATAGGCTCTTATCTTGAGCAAGTGCTACGTTCTTTTACAGCTGATGTTACACAGTAAATGTACATAGCAATTGGACAAAGCTATATCCATCCTTTCTGACAGAAACTAGTGAGGAGGCTCCAAATCATGCCCAGAGCCTCTCCCAAACAAAGCTTTTTATAACACCACTGAATGCGGTACAACACATTTCCCCTTCATTCACAATTATTCATATGCATCTAAACACTCATCACTGTTAACAGGTAGCTGAGAAAGCCTATTGCCTTCTTCCTAAAATAAATGACTTGCCTAATTTGAATTAAGCTACGCTTCACTGTTACTGTGAGTCAAGTGTGGCTGTGTCATCTGTCACAAAGTTTCACATCAACTCTAGTGAGTCATGTTGCAAATTGCAGCCAAGATGCAATGTCAGTTAAGCTGGCCTACAGGCTATCCAAGTAACTGCAGGCTTAATAAATACGAGGATGTTTAGTTTTTGAACTATTGAAGCGTGAATACAAATGTATGGAACAATGGGTGTGTGTAAGCTTGAGTGCATGCATGCATGAGTGCATATTTGTGTGTACAAGACAGGAAACTCTGTTGGAAAGAGGAAGCTGTGGGAGATGGAAGGACTAGAAAGAAATGCGTGGACCAAAGTGGAGACAGACAGTAAAGAATAGATCATGGCAGGGAGTGACGGAGAGCATGGCAGTAAAGAGAACAGCGGAGGTGGATGCTATGGGTATTTTTCAGCTCAGCCTTGGTGAGCTTGTCAGATGCTGACAGGGAGAGAGACATGGAGGGAAAACGCTCAGCCTCTGGAGACCTGAAGATTTACCCCCCTAACCTACTTAGCATGGATTGGGCCTCTGCCTCACTGCAGCATATCTAACTCAGCCTTATCACTCATCACCGAAATTGATGATGGCCACGTTGTTGCCGATCAAGGTAATGATAATGCTGAAGACAACAGGAATTACAATGGATGATGACCGGAATTACGATTACAGTGAAGGCAAGGACAGAGCAGGTGAAACAGATAGCCATGGAAAGGAAGCGAAAAGTTCCTCCCAAGCAGGAAGAGACATTGTTATGTTTATAGATAAACAGCCATGTAAGTTAAAAATAAGATCTGGTATTTCATGGAGACATAAATCCTAGAGATATTTTGACCTTTTATAATAAAGCGGAGACAGACTTCATGGATTTTGTAGGATTATAAAAGTTGTTTTCATTTGTACATCTGGTGTTTTGACAGAAAAATCACCTGTGGCATTTTCTCATAAAAACAGTTTCTCATTTATTGCAGCTCCGGGATTAGTCTCTTGATGACAACACAAGCCGGGTTCATGTCCTGCTTTGTGAGAGATGTGTCTCTGTTTACAATAGTTCACAGACACTGATTGATCTGTCCCAGATTACAGGGATAATATGAGGAAAATCTGTTATTGAAGAGGATTTCCCCTCAAATTACAGAAAGATGGCAGTGCTGATTAAAGTGTTGATGACCGGGGGCGATTCCATATCTGGATATTTTAGATTATGCTTATTCACCACAAAGTCCCAAATGGTATCTCCAGCCTTGAATTAAAAGTATAAATTAGATCTTTCTTTTCCCTCTTAACATTTAACAAGAAACTTACTCTTGTCAGTCGTAATTTCTGATAATGATAATCCCTGTTCATGTAGCATTGTTTGAGGGATGATGATAATTCATATTATTGTATTATATAATAATACAAGCCAGAACTGTGTTAAACAACCTGGTGACGGGAGTGCAATTTTGAGAGATGTAAACAGCGAGCAACAAATGGGTGTTATACGCCACACTCTGTTACAGAGCTGTCAGTCAGGCTGAGAACACAAGATTTATTTAAAGATGTAAGATGAGAATTGAGATGTGCAAGCAATCATATACCTGGGTTTGCGCATATGGTCATGTTATGATGTAGGCTGAAAAAATAATGAAGGAGGTGTTCGATTAAGAACATTGTGATCAAAGAGGGGAGGAGAAAGCCAGACAGAGTCAGAAATGAGACAGTCAAAGACCGATTCGGAGACGGAGAATAAAACAACAAAGAACAAGAGCTCAGAGAGATAGTGAAAATACCACAGACACCCCCCCCCCCCCCCCCCCCCCCCCCACCTCCCTCCCCCCCCGTGACAGTGTTCTCCCACCATCAGACAGGGGAACATCTGCTTTATAATTGGTTCATTTTCTATTTATAGATCCTACCCTCCTTCTGTCTGCAGTGATGGCCTGGTCCTGAGAAGCCACAGCTGAGAGAAAGAGGGAGAGAGAGCAGTGTGAGAGAGAGAGCTGTGTGGTGGGAGGGGGAGACAGGACGGGAGAGAAAAGCATCATCATAAATTAACCATAATAGTCAGTGTTCATACTAACACTATGCAAAATTGCACTGATTCTGCACCGCAGTACAAAAATAGACAATATAGAAACAAATCAAAAAATAATTTTGATGCACTTTTAAAAACAAAATGTTTTCTTTATGCAGTGTGGTGTGCTTCTCCATGATGAAGGCATCAACGTTGCCAAAACACTCATTCTTTGAGGTATTCATGAAATGATGATGAGATAACTTTTTAATGCTTTTGGAAGAAGAGTTCCTTGGAGTCGCTTCTTTTTCCTTTTAACCAACAATCCCACATGCTGAGGAACAGTTTTAGCGAAAGCTCCCACACAAAAGACTCTGAAGAAGCACTCTATATATCTCCTCCTCCCCGTCCAAAATATATCTAGTAGGTGGCAACAGTTGACAGTTGCACTAGACAGATTTAGCAACCAAACTAAAAACTGTGATATCTGTTTTGCCAACAATATTTTACCTTTACCTTTCCAACAAAGATTAGACAAATTAGTATTTCATTAATATGGATACTTTTATCTAAAAACAATAACGTTTTGTCATTTAAAGCTGCACCAATCAATAGTTTTATATTAGAAATGGATCACATGACTACATGTAAAGTGAAAGTAGCCACTCCCACAGAAATTATCACTCGTCTCTGAAGTTCCTCTCATCTTTACAGATAATTTGAGCATCTTTCATGTAATTGTTTTGGTTTTATTGCTTGCAACTTTAATGTTTTGGTTGTCCTCCCTTTTTCAAACCTTGTTTCCAGAAGCAGCAGACAGCTGTTTTCAGCAAAAAGCTAACACATAGTAACAATATCTACCCAGCCCCAAACAGCAGACAGACAAAGTTAGCAACTAGCTGATGAACATGGTGGAGCATTTAGTAATTAAAGAGAGAGAGAGTTGGAGAACCAAAGCAGAGCTACAAGGAGAATGAATACTGGACTCACATTTGTCAGGTACACAACTCTAAATTAATATTTATGTTGCTCTACATTGGCTGGATTTGCTAATAGGCAACAATTTGCTAACACATTCACCACAAACAACTTTATAAGGTGATAATATGTTAATGTTGTGTTTGCAGCATGTTCCACTGCCCCCAAGTGTTAAAAAAAAATCAGTTATTGTAGCTTTCGGGTCGTCCTTTGTGGGTAAATTTAGAACCTTGAGTGTAGTCCAGAAATAGTTTCCCACCAACCGTTTTTATTTATTTTTTTTGTATAAAAGGGTTTTTAGCTGTGACTAGTAGCTGGTATGAGTCACACCGGTGGCCAGTCAGTCGAATAATGTTTCAGCTCCCTCCTGCACATGTACAGCTGTGTTACTATACAGAGTTATAGTAAGATACCTCCAGGTTTCTCAGGTAGAGTTGTGGGGGGGGTTGACCAAGTTGTAATCCCAAGGCTCAAAATTGATTTTCTCAAGCTGCTACAATAACACAATCTGGCAGAAATAGCTTTCCATAGTGTCATAAGTAAACATTC